GGGTGTCTGCGCCCTACACCACTGGAGAAATTACACTGCTTAGCCGGTATTGCACCACCTGACAGCCGCCGGGAAGTAGCAGCCAATAGTGAAAGGACCAAGGCAGAGACATCTCCAGCTCATCCCTGTTTGGGTATCAGCCAGCACGTCAATGACTTAAATCAAGAAATAGTTTTCTAAGATCTACAGAGACACTCGCTGGAACACCTCAGCAAGCGAGAGTCCAAAAGTGGCAGGCTCAAACCCAGAACCTCAACCAATGGCTGATACCAAATGAGAAATCCCCCTGGGCACACAGAGGACTGGGCGACTTGGAAGGCGCTGAACAGATTGCGTTCTGTAATATAATTGGTAATGTAATTGGTAACTTAATATTGTGTATTATGTTTTAGATTTTCAGTGTGTTAGCATTGAATCTTTGCTGTTAGCCAGTCTGAGTCCCTCTGCAGAGGTAGAGAAGATTGGGATATAAAAGTTTTAAATAAATAAATAAATAAATAAATAAATAAATAATAAAAGCACCTATACATACATAAATAAACATCCTTGAATGACAATAACCTAGCGCACAATTTCTCTACCAACATCTATCTCTAATTACATGTACAGTAGAGTCTCGCTTATCCAACATAAACAGGATGGCAGAAAGTTGGATAAGCGAAAATGTTGGATAATAAGGAGGGATTAAGGAAAAGCCAATTAAACGTCAAATTACATCATGATTTTACAAACTAAGCAGCAAAACATCATGTTTTGCAACAAATCGACAGAAAAGGCAGTTCAATACACAGTAACCTTACGTAGTAATTACTGTATTTACAAATTTAGGACCAAAACAGAAAGGTTTCTTACTTTATACCACCCTGGACATTATTCCACAGGTAAATATACACTCCATTTTCCTCACCTGTGACGTTGGATAATATAGAATGTTGGATAAGCAAAGATTGGATAAGTGAGGCTACTGTAAATCTAAAATACACCCATATATATACATACATTTGTTGTAAAAGAGGATGTCCCTATTCCCTTTTGTCAGTTACCCTTTAGATCAATATTTTTCTTCTTCCTTCTTTAGTTCTTTAGTTCTGCTTGTTTTGACATTAACAAATGAAAAACCAAATAGCGTATGTCTTAACAACTGTCCATACAATATTTTCCTCTCCCTTAGATATGTGTGTGTGTGTGGATAAGAAAGGTTCTCATTCTTCTAATGTGTTAATTGATCTATCTGGAGTTGTTAACTTGTCCGTTTCTATTAATGAACATGTCCATTTCTATTAAGGGAACGAGCAACTTGTTTCCAAGTTCGTTTTAGACAAATAGGATTTCCCCCTCTTTGCCCATTCGAAATACAAAATTGTGCCATTCTTTGTATATAGTTTTTGCCATCTCTTCCTTGCATTGATCCATTTCCAAACGTCGCGTTTTGACTCTCGGGCCGCCGTTCTGCTCCGCATGAGACCCAGCCGTCTCCGCAAATGGAAAGTGACATTTTTAAGCCCTTTGGTTCGGCGCTAATGTGCCATTAGGTAGTTATCCAATAAGTCTATTCGTGTAGCTTAACCAGAGCCAGCTGTTGGAGGAAAGGCCCAAATTGCAAGGCTGAGACGTCTCCTCCTTTGCCTTCCTTCTTCGTTTTGTTTTTCTTGTTTCGAAACGAAAAGGCCCCGTTCTGGAATTACAAGCATCGCCGACTTCCTGAAGGGCTAATTCTGTTAACAAAGATCTGGACGAAACAAGGCCGTCGCTCAAGCCGGGATTGAAAGCGACCCACCAAAAGAAAACCCCTGTATTTTTTAAGCAGAAGAATGTGCGAGTGCGTCAACCTTTAGGCCTTCGGGGCATTCGGTCCTTTCCCCGAATGATCAAATTCCATTGATAAATTAAGTGTCTTCTAACCCTTTTATTAGGGGCAGGCAGCAGGTATGTCAATCATTTCCGCATGAAAGGACGAATTGGTCCTAACATTTTTCTGGGGAAAACGATGCTTCCCCCCCCCCCCCCCCCCCCCCCAATGACTTATTCATTGAAATTTTGTTGGATGGCAACCAGGTTAGATTGACCCATTTGCAACTGTTTGGCGTTATGATTATTACACTAAAAAAGGGGTCCTCAAACTATGGCCTAAGGGCCGAATATGGCCCTCCAAGGTAATTTACCTGGCCCTCGCTCAGGGTCAACCTAAGTCTGAAACAACTTGAAAGCACACAACAACAATCCTATCTCATCAGCCAAAAGCAGGCCCACACTTCCCATTGAAATACTAATAAGTTTATATTTGTTAAAATTGTTCTTCATTTTAATTATTGTATTTTGTGTGTTTTTGCACTACAAATAAGATATGTGCAGTGTGCATGAGATATGGTGTTATCAAACTTGAGACCTCACAACCACTGAGATGCTTGCCATAGATGCAGGCGAAACGTCAGGAGAAATGCCTCTAGAACATGGCCCTATAGCCCGAAAAAACCCACAAGAACCAAGTTTATATTTGTTTAAATTGTTCTTCATTTTAATTATAGTATTGTTTTAAGTGCCTTTTGCACTACAAATAAGATATGTGTAGTGTGCATGTTTTTTTTTCAAATTATAATCCGGCCCTCCAACAGTTTGAGGGAATGTGACCTGGCCCTCTGTTTAAAAAGTTTGAGGACCCCTGTGCTAAAAAATGTACAAATATTAAAAGAGAAATAAGCATCATTAGTATTCAAAACAATTCAGTTAGAATCCATAAAAAACATATTCAAAACTAAAAACCGCAGCAGCCCCTGACTTGAGAGCTGTTCAGCAGTGGAACTCTGTCACGGAGTGTGGTGGAGGCTCCTTCTTTGGAGGCTTTTAAGCAGAAACTGGGTGGCCATCTGTCAGGGGTGCTTTGAAGGTGAGTTTCCTGCTTCTTGGCAGGGGGTTGGACTGGATGACCCACCAGGTCTCTTCCAACTCTAGGATTCTATGATTGTAAGATAATAAAAACCTTCTTCTTTAAAAGCGGCCTGGATAAAAAAGTTTTTAAAAATATTGTTCTTATTATTGATCAGCTGAGGAATGGTAGAGAATAAAATATGGAATTGAGATACATGTGGTCTTTGGAGGCATACCGTACATAAAAGTATGTTCATGTCTATAATCATGGCACTCTTACAAATGTTCTCTCAAACCTATCCTGATCTCCTAGGTTGAATGCACACCGCAGAATTATAGCACTTCTGCACCACAATAACTTCCATAGATTTGTTGTTTTGTGAGATATTTCCCCCCCTCTCTCAAGAAAGCTATGGTGCCACAGCAAACTACAAAGCCCAGGATTCCACAGAATGCAGCTACAGCCATTACAGTGGTGTCCAAGTGCTATAATTCTGCAGTCTGGATAATCTATTCTTCTAACACTCAAGTACAGGAGAGAAGCATTCTCTCCTGACATTTCGCCCACATCTGTGGCAGGCATCCTCAGAAGTGCCGAACCTGACTCAGCACATAGAAGATGGTTTTGAAAGGCAGCAGATTATAGGAGCTGCCTTCATAGACCTGGCAGCAGCTTATGACACTGTAAACCATCGCCTTCTTCTGAGAAAAAACTTAAAATATCACAAAGGACTATCATCCTACCCTCTTCATAGGGAATCTGCTACAAAACAGGAGCTTTTTTGTTGAATTCCAGGGTCAGAGAAGCAGATGGCAAAAACAGAAGAACAGCCTGCCTTAGGGGAACGTGCTCGCTACACCAATGTTGAACATTTACACAAATGACCAGCCACTGCCAGAAGGGACAGAGAATTTCATCTATGCTGATGATCGTGCCATCACCACCCAAGCAGGGAGCTTTGAAATGGTCGAGCAGAAGCTCTCCAAAGCTTTAGGAGCTTTTACTGCCTATTAAGGGGAAAACCAGCTGATTCTTAATCTATCTAAAACACAGACATGTGCTTTTCACCTTAAGAACAGACAAGCATCTTGAGATCTGAAGATTACCTGGTGCATTGCAGAACACCTAAATACCTGAGAGTTACCCTGGACAGTACTCTGACCTACAAGAAGCACTGCCTGTCGGGGGTGATTTGATGGTACTTTCTTGCCTGGCAGAAGGGGGTTGGACTATATGACTCATGCAGTTTCTTCCAACTCTAGGATTTTAATATGAGGGGTATTTTTAAGTAAGGTCCGTTTTGTTGTAGACACTAGTAGTTCGCACGCATACCGCAACAAGCGCGTGCGTCGTGTACCGGCATGCCTCGGGAACAACTGTGCTCAGTTTCCGCTCTGTAGCTAACCTGTACGGTTCTGTTCTGTGCTTTAAAAATGTTTAAGACTATCAACTCACCCGCCACATGTGAGGTTCGCTCAGTGATACGGTTTTTGTCAGCAAGGAACCTGCCTGCTGCAGAAATTCATCGACAGATTTGTGAAGTGTACGGTGATACTGTTATGAGTGAAAGCAAAGTGCGTAAGTGGGTACGACAATTCAAAGATGGCCGTGACAACGTCCATGATGAGGACCGCTCCGGTCGCCCTTCTTTGATTACAGACGATTTGGTGGCTTCAGTTGAAGCGAGGATTTATGAAGAGGGTATTTTAAAATTGGTTCAGAGGTATGATAAGTGTTTGAACAAACTTGGCAACTATGTCAAAAAATAGAGTGAAGTATGTACTTTCTGAAAATAAATTTACTTTTTTGAAATAAACTTTCGTTGTGTACTTCTGTTCCAACGGACCTTACTTTAAAAATACCCCTCGTATTATATTTAAGCACTTTATCTTAACTCTAAAGGGCTGGTGAAAGGCTTCTTACAGGAGCCTTAGGGTAACTTGAAAGAAGTATCTCTCTCCAAGCTTTGCAAAATAAATGACAACGTCTTGGTATGAAACTGATTTTCTGTTGGATAAATACACAACACGATCATTTGACCACAAAGGCTGACCAAATATGTGAAGGGAATTACTGGATTCATTCAGGGGCTTTCTTGTATCACAACTAGGCGATCTGGAATAAAAACAAAGAGTACTGTAAGAGTCAACTTTTATTTGTATTTGCAAAGCGCAATACACTGAGCTCTGAATTTCCAACAAGTACAAAAAGCCAAAAAGAAGGTGGGAAGAGGGAAATGCTGCTTTCAGGCTTCTGCTTTGAGGAGGGGGATGTTGGTCACATCGTGGATGCCGTCTTTGTCGATGAACCGGGCATTGAAGGAAGGCAAGTTCAGGATGAAGCGCTTCTGGAGCTGTTGAGAGAGAGTTACTCTTTTTAATCTCACTGCTTGTTTACTGTTTTTATCTCATTGTTTTAAATGTTAACAGTGGTTGGATTTTTTTTTTATGTGGCTCTTTTTCACATGCTGTATTTTAGTTTGTAGAATGCTGTAACTTCCAATTAGGGGGGAGATGTTGGTTGTAAATGAAGTCAGAAAAACCAAGGTAAACTGGAGTTGTCTAAGGATATTAGAATGATACATAACAATAAGCAATTTAAATAACGTATTACAGGTTGATTACCCAAAAATCCAAAATGCTTCGAACTCCAAAGCTGTTCACATGGATGGTGGAGACAGTGAAACTATTGTATCAAATTATCTTTAGGCTACATATATAAGGTGTATAAGGTAAAGATTTCCCCTTGAATTGTCGAAGGCTTTCATGGCTGGAATCACTAGGTTCTTGTGGGTTTTTTCGGGCTATAGGCCATGTTCTAGAGGCATTTCTCCTGACGTTGCCTGCATCTATGGCAAGCATCCTCACCACCTCTGAGGATGCTTGCCATAGATGCAGGCTAAATCAGGAGAGAATGCCTCTAGAACATGGCCATATAGCCCAAAAACACCTACAACAACCAGTTTCCTTGATATTAAGTCTAGTTGTGTCCGACTCTGGGAGTTGGTGCTCATTTCCATTTCTTTCTTTTTTTTTAAAGGATTTTTTAATTATATTTTCCATAGTACAACGAAAGAGTGAGAACAATAAAAGTGAGAGAAAAAAATAGAAAAAAAAGAGAGTAGAAGTATATATATATAGAAAAGAAGAAAGACGGAAGAAAGAAAAGGAAAACCCACTTGGGAGATACACAGGAAGTCAACGCGGGAGACATATGCCAGCTGTCTCCACTACCTTTTTCTCCTTTTTAAAAAAAACCTTTCACTATTACTATCCTTATATTCTACCCTTTTTCTTTTCTCTTTTTCTCTCTTTCTTGTCCCTCTCCTCTTTTCTCTCTCTCAGTTCTCTTCTTCCTCTCTACCCTTCTCACTTCTTCTCACTCTTAGTCTCTCTTTTCCTCCCCTTCCTCACGCATTTTTGTTCTTTTCTTTACCCCATTTACCCTCTATTTTACTCTACTTTACTCCTATTATTGTTATAGACCTATTTTCTTTTAACTCTTTTACTTGATATGTAACAAAAGGAAACTCTCAATAAAGATGATATAAAAAAAGAAAAAAAAGTGCCCAAAAAGTGGGAGGGGGGGGAGTGCCCAAAAAGTGGGGAAAAATTGACTTCCATTCCATCTTCTTGGAAATAATCTTTCTTTCATAAAAAGTTTTACTTCTCAAAGAGAAATATTGTCTCTCGTGTTTGTTTTCATTTTTACAAGTTTTCCAGATAGTTATCGAGAGGGTCCCAATTTGTCCTCTTTAAAATGTTACCTGTATTTTTCTTCAACAAAAAAGTCAATTTGTCCATAATCTTTTATTTCTCTAATTTTCCCTATCCACTCTTCTATTGGTGGAATTAATTCCTGTTTCCATTCTCTTGCAAAAACAATCCTGGCGGCTGTCGTAATATATGTAAAAAGTTTATCTTCTTGTTCATTTAATTTCTAAGAGCCGGCGTTGTCCGTAGACTCCTCCAAGGACATGTGGCCAGCATGACTGCATGGAGTGCCATTAACTTCCCACCTGAGTGGTACCTACTAATCTACTCACATTTGCATGTTTTCAAACTGCTGGGTTGGCAGGAGCTGGGGCTAACAGTGGGAGCTCACTCTGCTCCCCAGATCTGAACCACCAACCTTTTGGTCAGCAAGTTCGGCGGCTCAGTGATTTATGCGCCACCAGGGGCTCCATAAGGCAGTGTTTCTCAACCTTCCTAATGCTGCGACCCCTTAATACAGATCCTCATGTTGTGGTGACCCCCAACCATAATATTATTTTCGTTGTTGCTTCATAACTGTAAATTTGCTACTATTACGAATTGTAATGTAAATATCCAATATGCAGGATGTATTTTCATTCACTGGACCAAATTTGGCACAAATACCCAATACACCCAAATTTGGATACTAGTGGGGTTGGGTGAGGGGTTGATTTTGTTAATTGGGAGTTGTAGTTGCTGGGATTTATAGTTCACCTACAATCAAAGAGCATTCTGAACTCCACCAACAATGGAATTGAACCAACTTGGCACACAGAACTCCCATGACCAACAGAAAATACTGGAAGGGTTTGGTGGGCACTGACCTTGAGTTTGGGAGTTGTAGTTCACCTAGATCCAGAGAGCACTGTGGACTCAAACAATGATGGATCTGGACCTAACTTGGCACAAATACTCAATATGCCAAAATGTGGCATTTGGGGAAAATAGCTCTTGACATTTGGGAGTTGTAGTTGCTGGGATTTATAGTTCACCTACATCAAAGAGCATTCTGAACCCCACCAACAATAGAATTGGGCCAAACTTCCCTCAGAACCCCCATGACCAACACAACATACTGTGTTTTCTGATAGTGTTTGGCGACCCTTCTAACACCCCCTCGCGACCCCCTCAGGGGTCCCGACCGCCAGGTTGAGAACCACTGCCATAAGGTGTATATGAAACATAAATGAGTTATGTGTATAGACTTGGTGGGGAGGTGTCCAAAATATCTCATTACATACATACATATGCAAAGCAGGTATCCCAAATTTTTTTTAAAAACTCTATCAAAAGCTGCTCAACCCTGGACACAAGCTCTTAAAATACCCAGGGCGCAGTGAAAAATATTATTCCACCCTGCTGCTTTCGGACTCTGACACTGCAATAGCTTACAGTGTTGCTAAGTTTTGTGCTGCAGCACTTGAAATTAGATGGATGATTGACCCACAAGGCAAAACCCTGCTGGGAATTGAGTTAGACCTACATGTTACAGCTGAAATGCTACTAGACTCACAATGTGTCCCTCCCTTCCCTTTTAGTGCCTCCCAGTGTTTTTGACCCCTCCTATCAACCCCCCCCCCCCCCTCAGTTCCATACCTGTTACAATAACCTGTGTTTTAAAAATGAGATTTTAGACTGTTTCCTAATCTACTTATGAATAGCTGCTTCACTGGGGAGTTGTGCTTCCCCTCCCAGGGCGCTTGTGCCTGCTTTGTGCTGGTCAGTGACCGTAATAAAATTTTGTTGTTGTTGGACCAGTTCTTAAACACTCTTCTGAAATGAGCTTCGTGTATTCCAAGTACTTAGTCCTAATCTTTTTTTATACTGGTTTTAAACCACTTCATTGGATGTGTTGCAATAGCAGGTTCCCAGATTAGTTTAGTGCTTACGCCTTATTTCATTTTTCTGGTTATTTAAATTTTAATGTTTATTTTACTTAAGTGATATTTGTCTTTAAAATGATCAAATAAATTGATCGAAGGTCTGGAGAACAAGCCCTATGAGGAGCGGCTTAAGGAGCTGGGCATGTTTAGCCTGAAGAAGAGAAGCCTGAGAGGAGATATGATAGCCATGTATAAATATGTGAGAGGAAGCCACAGGGAGGAGGGAGCAAGCTTGTTTTCTGCTTCCTTGGAGACTAGGACGCGGAACAATGGCTTCAAACTACAAGAGAGGAGATTCCATCTGAACATGAGGAAGAACTTCCTGACTGTGAGAGCTGTTCAGCAGTGGAACTCTCTGCCCCGGAGTGTGGTGGAGGCTCCGTCTTTGGAAGCTTTTAAACAGAGGCTGGATGGCCATCTGTCAGGGGTGATTTGAATGCAATATTCCTGCTTCTTGGCAGGGGGTTGGACTGGATGGCCCATGAGGTCTCTTCCAACTCTTTGATTCTATGATTCTATGATTTACTGTTCTAATGTAGCACAAATCCTATGTAAAATCATACTATGTATTTTTGACATTAATATTGAAATCTGAAATATATACAGAAAGTCTTTACACAAGTTGCTAGTTAAGAAGGTTACAACTTCAAACTATTCATTTATTTAAAACATTTTTATTTTGGTCGTGTCCGGAGCGACTTGAGAAACTTGAGAAAGTCACTTCTGTTATGAGAGAATTGGCCATCTACAAGGATGTTGCCCAGAGGATGCCCGGATGATTTGATGTTTTTACCATCCTTGTGGGAGGCTTCTCTCATGTCCCCGCATGAGGAGCTGGAGCTGATTGAGGGAGCTCATCCGCCTCTCCCTAGATTCGAACCTGCGACCTGTCGGTCTTCAGTCCTGCCGGCACAGGGGTTTAACCCACTGCGCCACCGGGGGCTCCTTATTTAAGACACTTACATTTCGCCCTTCTCACCCCAAAGGGGATTCAGGGCGGAGCACGGTATACACGGCAAACATTTAATGCCGGGACACAAATTCACATACACATACATAAACATTAAAAATATTTATCAAAATATTAAAATACACCATTTAAAAACCGTCCTAGTCATCCACGTCAAATCTAATTGGCCTGGTCATCTTTCCTATTGCTGCTTTATTGCCTTGTCCCGAAAGCTTGGTCCCACAGCCAAGTTTTTACCATCCTTCTAAAGGACAGGAGGGAGGGGGCCGAACTGATCTCACCAGGGAGAGAGTTCCATAGCCGGGAGCCATCACCGAGAAGGCCCTGTCTCTCGTCCCCACCAATAGCGCCTGCGACAATGGCGGGATGGAAAGCAGGGCCTCCCCGGAGGATCTTAATCTCTACGATGGTTCATAGGGGGAGATGCATTCAGACAGGTAATTTGGGCCGGGGCCGTTTAGGGCTTTATAGGCCAAAGCCAGCACTTTGAATTGTGCCCGGTAGCAAACTGGCAGCCAGTGGAGCTGGCGTAACATGGGAGTTGTATGCTCCCTGTATGCCGCCCCAGTTATTAACCTGGCTGCCTCTCGTTGGACTATTTGAAGCTTCTGAGCAGTCTATGGGCACAAATATATCGGAAGAAACCTGAAGCCACAGGTCCGTAGCTTGGGAGTCCTCTTGGAGTCATCGCTCACGCTTGAGGCTCAGGCGTCGGCGGTGTCCGGGAGGGCTTTTGCACAACTGAGACTTGTGCGCCAGCTGCGTCCATACCTCGCGAAGGCTGATCTGGCCGGGGTGGTCCATGCCTTGGTCACCTCTAGACTGGATTACTGCAACGCGCTCTACGTGGGGCTGCCCTTGAAAACGGCTCGGAAATTCCAACTGGTCCAACGGGCAGCAGCCAGGATGTTAACCGGGGCTCATTACAGAGAGAGGTCAACCCTCCTGTTCAAGGAGCTCCACTGGCTGCCGTTTATTTTCCGAGCCCAATTTAAGGTGCAGGTGCTTACCTACAAAGCCCTGAACGGTTTGGGACCACTCTACCTGCGTGACTGTATCGCTGTCTACGAACCCACACGCTCACTCCGGTCATCTAGAGAGGCCCTGCTCATGATCCCGCCTGCGTCGCAAGCGCGCTTGGTGGGGACGTGAGACAGGGCCTTTTCTGTGGTGGCCCCCTGACTCTGGAACACCCTCCCGAAAGATCTCAGACAAGCACCTACATTGGCAGTCTTCAGGAAGGAATTGAAAACTTGGCTGTTCCGATGTGCCTTTTCAGATTAGGAACCCCAGCACCAAATCCTAGAAGCACCTTAGTAGAACCAAGATCACTGCACACTGCACACCGCACTTATATTATAATCCTACATTCCTCCCGCCACATCAGCACTTTTAATCCTGTACCCCTACTCTGGCCGGCCCAGTTTTAATAGTGTCTTGTTGTATTGTTACTGTTATTGTTTTCCTGCTTAACTGTTTTTTAATTTGCTTTAGGTATTGTATTGTTGTATTGTGTTTTGGGGCTTCGGCCTGTGTAAGCCGCATCGAATCCCTCGGGAGATGCTAACAAATAAAGTTATAACAAATAAAGTTATAATAATAATAATAATAATAATAATAATAATTCAGGCCTCCCCAGCTTTTGTGAATAGTCAAGTTCAAAGTACCAAGGTCCTATGTATCCACAGAAAAGCACTCTGAACTCAAATTGGAAACATATAGGCCTCACATGTTTGATACCTTCCCTCATCTAAGTATTAAACAGATGGGTCAGTCAGAAAACAAGGCAGAAGAACAGGTTCCAAGTATTAAATATGGAAGAACCTGCTTTTTGTTTTTTAAACAGGAGGAGGGCGGAATCGCAATGTCACAGTCTGGAAAACATGAAGGCAACCAAGTGGGGTGGGACAGGAAGGCTTATTCCCCAGTAGCATATTTCACATCTGGTTGCTCTGTGTTTATTTCCTCTTCCTGGCAAAACAGGGCAGAAGATGAAGCCGAGGCCCAGGATGCCAGCCCAGACAAAGGAACCAAACATGGGTCACTCACCTCCTCCAGACATTTCTTGAGAACCTCTATGGCTTCCTCGCGGGTGATACCTGGAAGATGAAGGGAGAGAGACACACACAGCTTTGATTAGCAGCTCCACGTCTCCAAAAAAACCCCTCAATGATGTCTGGAGAGTTTTTCAGCCCAGGACTAAGGAACGAGAGCCCCCTTTCCCAGCTCTGAGGAAACTGGTTCCACATGTCAGCGGATCACCTGTGCCCTGGCTCGCTTGCCCAACGAGGCATCCCAAATTGATTCGTTCCAGCGCAAGGGGAAACCTTCAGGATCCTGCCTCCCACGGCTCGGGAAGGGCCCGGACATGGTCGCCTTCTTGAGCTGATTAGGGTCCTAAATCAGCTCCATCTGTCCCAGGTCGGTTGCAAAGCACTCAGAGGGGTGCGTATGTGCACGCGGGGAATTGGCCTAAGCTTCCAGAGCTATATTCCCTCTTGGGTGTTCACTTTTCACAATGGAAATGACACATATGCCAAGTGTCCCAGCTATACTCAAACATCAGAGGAAAGACCATGTTGGGGGTCTACAAACTGGGCTGAAGCATTAGGACTTGGAGGAAGTCCTCAATAAGAATTACTTGGGGGCTGGGAAAGAGTGCTGCAGGAAAGAGAAGACAGGCAATGGTATGTTCCCTAGGCCATTTTAGCCTCTAGGGAGGACTTTTTATGAAAAGGAAGCATACCAAAGTGATTCTAGGTCACTTCCTTTTTAGGAATGTTCTAAGGCAGTGTTTCTCAACCTACCTAATGCCGAAACCCCTTAATACAGTTCCTCATGTTGTGGTGACCCCAACAATAAAATTATTTTCATTGCTCCTTCATAATTGTAATTTTGCTACTGTTATGAATTGTAACTTAAATATCTGATATGCAGGATGTATTTTTATTCACTTGACCAAATTTGGCACAAATACCCAATACGCTCAATTTTGAAAACTAGTGGGATTGGGGGTCGGGATTGATTTTGTCATTTAGGAGTTGTAGTTGCTGGATTTATAGTTAATCTACCATCAAAGAGCATTCTGAACTCCACCAATGAAGGAATTGAACCAAATAATAATAATAATAAACTTTATTCATACCCTGCCACCATCTCCCCAGAGGGGACTTGGGGCGGCTAACATGAGCCCAGGCCCAAAATCATACAACATAATAAACACACAATAACCAAATACATCAAACAATATATGAAATAACAAATAAAATCAACAATATAAAATAACATAATAAAATCAGACGCAGAGAGTGGGCTAAATGTAAGAGGTAAAATGTCTTTTAAAAAATTTAAACCCTGGGCGAGATAGAGATAAAAGTGCATTTGTAGGAGAGGAGCCCGACAGGAAGGAGCAGTGGGATTTAGCCATTTTAGGGGGCAGGGGAAGGTGTTTTATTCTGAGGGTAACTATAGGTTAAAACAACCAGATGGGTTGAGTGGTCACTCTCCAAAGGCACATCGGAAGAGCCAGGTTTTTTTTTATCTTTCTTAAAAGCAGCTAGGGTGGGGGCTTGCCTGATCTCCCTAGGCAGCGAGTTCCAAAAGCAGGGGGCCACAGCGGAGAAGGCCCTCTCCCTCGTTCCCACAAGTCGAGCCTGTGATAGACGAAGGGGCAACAGAAGGGCCTCTCCAGAAGATCGAAGAGATCATGCAGGTTTGTGGTAGGAGATGCAGTCACAAAGGTAGGTGGGTCCCAAACTGTTTAGGGCTTTGTAGGTAATAACCTGCAACTTGAATTGGGACTGGAAGATGAACGGCAGCCAATGGAGCTCCTTATCAGGAGGGTTGACCGCTCTCTGTAATTCGCCCTGGTTAGAAGTCTGACTGCCGAGCGTTGGACCAATTGAAGTTTCCAAGCCATCTTCAAGAGAAGCCCCACATAGAGTGCATTGCAATAGTCCAATATAGAGGTAACTAAGGCGTGGAACACTGTGGTCAAGTCAGACTTTGTGAGGTATGATCTCAGCTGGCACACAAGTTTTAATTGTGCGAAGGCCCTCCCGGCCACCACCGACACCTGCGCATCAAAGCGTCAGCGCTGAGTCCAGGAGGACCCCCAAACTTCGGACCTGCGCCTTCAAGGGGAGTGCAACCCCGTCCAGCATAGGTTGCCACCCAATACCCCCGGTCAGGCATACGACTGACCTGGAGGGCCTCTCTCTTGTCGGGATTGATCTTCAGTTTGTTTGCCCTCATCCAGGTCGACACAGCAGTCAGGTACCGGTCCAGCATCCAAGGGGCTTCCTTGGATTCCGGCGGAAAAGAGTAGTGGAGTTGGGCATCATCTGTGTAGAGATGGCACCCAACTCCAAAACTCTGGATGACCTCTCCCAGCAGTTTCATATAGATGTTAAAAAGCATGGGGGACAGAATGGAATCATGCGGGACCCCACAGGTCAATGGCCAGGGTCCGAGCAGGTGTCACCCAGCTTTACCATCTGGGAACAAACCTCCAGGAAGGACCGAAGCCACAGCAAAACCGTGCCCCCCAGTCCCTTTCTGGAAAGCCGACCCAAAAGGATATCATGGTCGATGGTATCGAAAGCCTCTGAGATATCCAAGAGAACCAGCAGGGTCACACTCCCCCTGTCCAGTTCCCTGCAGAGGTCATCCACCAAGGCGACCAAAGCCGTCTCGGTACTCTGCCCGGGTCTGAAACCAGACTGTGATTGATCCCCAAAATCTGTGTCGTCTAGCAACCTCTGGAGCTGCGAGGCGACCACACGCTCCAGCACCTTGCCCAAGAAAGGGAGGTTGGAAATTGGTCTGTAATTATTCAGCACGGAAGGGTCAAGGGAGGTCTTTTTCGGGAATGGTTTTACAAATGCCTGCTTAAGGCAGGATGGAAATTTCCCCTGGCCCAATGATGCATTGATGATGGAGACAAACCAATCCAACAACCCATCCCTGGTCAGTTTAACTAGTCAGGAAGGGCAAGGGTCCAGAGCACAAGCAGTCGCCCTCACAGCCCCAAGGATCCCATCAATGTCATCAGGCAAAACAAGATGAAAATAATCCCTTAAGATTGGACAGACAGGAGCCTCGGTTACCTCATTTGGCATTAAATTTAAACTGGAGTCCAGCTCGAGGTGTATCTGAGCGACTTTGCCTGCAAAATGGTGCGCGAAATCGCTGCACCGAGTTGCCAAGTCATCAGGGATCCCCTCCACCTCGGGTGGGTGGAGGAGCTCCCCAACAACCCGGAACAACTCTGATGGCCTATTGGCTGCAGATGCTATGCGGGCAGTCGAGAAGGTTTAAGCCCTAATAGCGGCTTTAGCCTGTGCTTGGTCAGAGACGTCATGAGATTTCCTCCAGATGCAGTCTAGACCCCTCTTCTAGCGCTTCATCACCACCAGCTCCTCAGTGAACCAAGGAGTTGGCACAACTCTATGCAATGAGAGGGGGCGTTTGGGAGTGATCATGTCAATCGCCCAGGACATCTCGCTATTATAGAGATCAACCAGAGAATCGACAGGATCGTCAGTCTCCAGGACAGGAAGATCCCCAAGAGACCTCAGGAATCCATCCAGATCCATAAGTCTCCTGGGGCGGACCATCTTAATGGGTCCACCACCCTGCGGAAATTAGAGGTCACGGCGAGTCTTAAGCTGATCAGATGATGGTCAGACCATGACAATGGAAGAATATTTTGCTCTTCCACTTTGATCACACCACCGTCCACGATAAAAACTAGGTCAAGTGTGTGACCCGCCTGGTGCGTGGGACCAGATATTACTTGGCACACAGAATTTCCATGACCAACAGAAAATACTGGAAGGGTTTGGTAGGCATTGACCTTGAGTTCTGGAGATGTGGTTCCCATACAATGATGAACTCAAACAAGGATGGATCTGGATCAATAGGGCCAAATGTGAACACTGGTAGAGTTTGGGGAAAATAGACCTTGACATTTGGGAGTTGTAGTTGCTGGGATTTATAGTTCACCTAAAATTAAAGAGCATTCTGAACCCCACCAACGATAGAATTTGGCCAAACTTCCCACACAGAATCCCCATGTCTTGAAGGGACTCGCTGGTGCGAACCTCCCTTCAGCCTTGCATGCTCTCCTTTACTGGCATATGTGCACCACACTGCCATGCACTAAGCATGCCTGCTGTCCCCTCCCCACTTGGAGTTTCAGAAACAGTCCTCCCCTTGGCTGAGAGGCCAGCCAATCACAGTGGAGGAGGGCTTTTGGTGGGAGGCTTCACCATCTGTTTTCAAAAAAGAAGAGAAGGAGAGGCATAGACATATTCATCCTTCTCTGCCTAAGGGGTTCCTAAGACCATCAGAAATATGTTTTCTGATGGTCTTCGGCGACCCCTCTGACATCCTGTCGTGCCCCCCCCCCAGGGGTCCCGACCCACAGGTTGAGAAGCATTGTTCTAAGGGGACAAGGTGACCACCTAACAGAAACTGATGTAAAGATGAGATTTGCTTCTTTGTGTGTTTGGTTACAGGAATATAGCTGGACACCTCCTGGACAACTTACTTGGTAACTAGAGTCTTGGGCAGCACAGATCAATGGCACGGACAGGGAATAAGTCTGAATAAGAAGTTCTGGTTATATCTTGCTATGTCACCAACAGGATGTCAACACAACGTAGTCATACTTATCCTGATGGGAGAGCCAAGTCTGAATAACACAGCCTGGATTAAATAAAGTCTTTGATGACCAAACAGCTCAGACACAGGGAAACTGCAGCCACAAAGCTTTTGTTGTGACTAACTTCCTCCTGAATGAACTCTGCCCTCTGAAGAAGTTCACTCTTGGAGGCCTCCGGGAGCAGCTGGTGATTGAAAACAATCCCCCAGCCCTGCGTCCCCCAAAAAAGCACAGAGAAAAAGTCAAAACCAAAGGGCTGGAACCAGGATGAGTTCTGGTTTTGATTTCCAGAACTGAGGTCCACGGAGCGGTGCATGTAATTGATCCCTGATGCGATTGTGTGCCCCTTGTTTGTGGAATTTGTTAGAAATTGTACAAAATGGAGCGTCAAAGAAGCATTCAGATCCCAAAACATTGCCTCCAGACACCCATAAAACAGATCTTACCATCCTGCCCAGATTTTCAGAATTTGGGTACTACTACTTCCACATCATTACACTTGCCTTTTACCACTTTAAGGAGCCGGGCTCCAAAGCAAAGGGGCAATTAAGCAAGGCCCCTTGAGGCAAAAGGGTCCCACCTACCTGGTTTGTAGTAGCGGTCAAGAATGCTGAGGGTGAGGAACGCTCCATAACCGTGGGCTGCAAAGGGGGCCTTTGCTAAGGAGGCAAGGTAGTCCATGTAGTAGAGGGTGGGCCCATCGTGCTCATCGTAACCCGCCAAGAGGAGGTTGACGTGATACGGAGTCTGCAGCGAGGAGGAAAAGAAGAAGTCACAACCTTTAGATATCTTATGCAACAATACTTTGTCTTCACAGAGCTTGGCTTAAAACTGGGCTGGGGAGGAGGGGTTGTGTCAAATCCTACTGTATTCTACCACCATCTTCTGCATCATATCCATTGATGGGGATGACTTACACTACAGCGTTATGAATCAACTGCCAAAGCTACATCCCATGGGATCTTGAGTTTGGTGCTTGGTTGAACAGTCTAAATGTCTTGCTTTGAAGATCAGATGGGACTTAGTGCCTCTATCACAGGTATGGGCAAATCAAGGCCAGGAAGCCGGATACAGCTCCTTGGGCTCCTTTCTCATGCCCTCCTCTCTCTCACCATCCTTCCTTCCTTCTCTCTTTCCTTCCTCCTTCCCTTCCTCACCTCCCTCTTTCTCCCTCGCTCCCTCCTTCCTTTTCACCCTTCCTTCCTTTCCTCTTTCCTCCCTCCTTCCCTCTCTCTCTTTCTCCTTCCTTCCTTCCCTTTTGTCTTTCCTTCCTTCTTCCCTCCCTCTCTCCTTTTCCCTCCTTCCATTCTCTTCCACCCTTCCTTCCTTCCTTCCTTTCTCTACCTCCATTCCTTCCATTTTTCCTTCCTCCTTGTTAATGTTTAGCTGGAAGAAGAGAAGGTAGAGAGGGAACATGGGAACCATGTTTCAAGATTTAAAAGGGAGTCCCATTGAGGAGGAGGAGGAAGGGAGAAAACCGACTTTCTGCTGCTCTAGAGAACAGGGCACAAGAAAGAAATTGTTTCAAATGGCTGAAAAGATTAGGAAGAACTTCCTGGACTGTGGCATAGACTGCCTGGGAGTGTGATGGAGTCACCTTCTCGGGAGACTTTTCTGCAGAGGTTGTATATCATGAGTGCTTCTTGCATGGCAGGGGGTTGGATTGGATGGCCCTTGGGGGTTTCTTCCAGTGCTAGGATTCTAGGATTCTATACCAGGAGTAGGTAATACGAGGTCTAATGGATACACTTTTTTTCTCGCCCATCCACCATTTCATCCTGACCAAGGCTAACCCTTTTGGGATCCAAACATTTACCGTCTTTCCTTCACTTTCTGCCTCCGAAAGAGAAAAGGGAGGAAAGGGCAAGGAGGGGACTTGGGGAGAACCCCCTCCCTCGCTGTCCGCCCACCTTGCTCCGGCCCGCCATGCAGTTCCGGAGCATGCCTCCTCTATTAGCTTGCAATGTCTTTTTGCTCCGCTCTTCTTCATTCCCACTCTCTCAAGCGTTTGCCTATTTTCCTATGACTCAGGTTGAGGCATGATGTGTCCTAAGACTCATGGTAGGCTCAAGAAACACAAAGTGAGTAAGCCCTTCTACCAACCCTAAGCCCCAACTCATTGGAATTCCCAAAAGACCAGAGACAATGTCCCAAAATGCCATCCCACTTTTTTTTTATAAAAAAAATCTATTTTACAAAGGTAAGCATGAACGAAGCAGGTCTTTTTCAATCTTGCAAGATTTCTTTCTATTATTGCAAACCACAGCTTGGGCTGTGTTTTATTCCTGTTGCCCCGTAACCCACAATAATAAGATGCTTTAAAATTAAAATTAAGCAGTAAACCACAGCAAGAAAAGATCTGCTTTTGAAGAACATGGAGGAACGTCAGGGTGGGGAGAGCTACTCCCGCCTGACTGATTTAATGAGACTGTATTAACACCCCCTGATTTATGCCTAAGCATTTTGCACATCCAGGAGCTGGCAAACCAGAGCGGTGGCAGTACAGTAATTGGAGAGTCAGGTTGTGGGCCACAAACATGGCTTTGAAACACCCAAGTTTTCACCTGAGTTAGTGCCAGCTGTCAAAGCATACATATATACATGATGGGTAAACTCATTAGAGGCAGGCAACTGTGTGACAACTTGATCAGAAATAATGTTTGATGCAGGCAACTATAGGAGATGGTGCAATCCACTCCAAAATCTCATACCCCCTATTTCCTGTTGTTTGGGGGGCAGCAAGTGTATCCAAAGGGAGCCGACCCTTGCATTATTAGAGAAGTCTTCTAGGAATCCAGCAATGGAGCAAACCCTATAAGGAACGGCTTAAAGAGCTGGGCATAAATATTCAAGATCCCTAAAGGTAAACAAAAACTGGTATAAAATGTTTTTCAGATGGCACTTAACCCCGTAAAATAACAAGATTTAAAAAAATCAAAATAACAAATGCTGGAAATGTGGAGAAGACACAGGATCCTACTTCCATGCCTGGTGGTCCTGTAAGGAAATTCAAAAATTTTGGAAAAAAATACACGGCCATTCCCAGAAAATTTAAAAAATTAAATTCAATCTTAAACCAGAATATTACTTATTGGATCCAACAAAAAAACCGAGTTTGATAAAAAATAACGATAAAATATACAGCAAGATCTCTCTTAGCTCAGAAGTGGCGTTTAAAGGAAATCCCATCAATTGAAAACTGGTTTAGCAAATTAAGAGACTATGTGGATCTAGATTATCTAACATTTCTACTCCAAGACCAGTCGGAGAGACATAAAACAGATTGGTCATTCCTAAGAGAATTCTTGAAGGAGCAGAAATGTAATTAGTATGAGCTAAATAAAACAGGCCAAAGAGAAAAAGAATTTGGATTAGATATAAGATGCGAGAGCACAAACTAAGCTTTCAACTAAGCAGTGCAATTGATTGATTACTGGAATATGGATTAATGGACAACAAGATCGGATGCTGATTCTATTGATGAGACGTGATGGATTGTTGTTTTCCTGTATTGTTGTATTGATGTTCTGATGTTAATTAATTGATATTACTGTTTTAAATGATTAATGCTCTTGTACTGTGTTGTTGATACTGGTTGTTAACTGCTCTGAGTCGCCTGATAGCTGAGAAGAGCGGTATACAAGTGAAGTAAATAAATAAATAAATAAATAAGATGAAGAATATGAAGATTACAATAATATCACTATTAGAGACTACTCACCATGGACTTTCTCCCAACAAGACAAATCCCTTCCACCCTTCACCCTTGTCCCCCCCACTTTTCTTTTCTTTCTTACCTTTTCTCACCATTTCCCACTTTCTTACCTTTTCTCACCATTTCCCACTTTCCTATACACTCGATTGTTCCCCCTCTTTTATTGTATGTTGAAAAAAAACCCAATAAAAAAAAGAGCTGGGCATGTTTAGTCTGAAAAAGAGATGGCTGAGAGAAGACATGATGAGGGCCATGGATCAAGATGTGAGGGGAAGTCATAGGAAGGAGGGAGCAAGCTTGTTTTCTACTGCCCTGGAGACTAGGATGTAGAACAATGGCTTCAAACGACAGGAAAGGAGATTCCACCTGAATATTAGGAAGAACTTCCTGACTGTGAGAGCTGTTCAGAAGTGGAACTCTCTGCCCCAGAGTGTGGTGGAGGCTCCTTCTTTGGAGGCTTTTAAACAGAGGCTGGATGGCCATCTATCAGGGGTGCTTTGAATGCAATATTCCTGCTTCTTGGCAGGGGGTTGGACTGAATGGCCCATGAGGTCTCTTCCAACTCTATGATACTATGTTTCTATGATTCAATGTCATGTTCTCCTTCTAAAGAAATGAGGCTGAGCTCTGCCAGTGTCCTACTTACCAATGCTGCTCTGCATGAGCATTCATTATGCAAAGATACCACTCAGCATAAGGCTTGCAAAGCATAACCAATGACAGAGATTTGTGCTGTATGATCTCAGCCTAATCTTGCATCCTTCCCATAAAGTTTGGCTGGTTCAGGTGGATGCAATTCTTATCCTGGAGAGGATTTGGTCATTGAATGCACACCAACAACCTTGTGACGGAGGTTCAAAAGGGCAGTGTCTCCACCAAATGTCACGGATGAATGAGATCCGAACTCCAAAATTCCCCGTCATATTTTTGTAAAATTATTACTATATTTATTGATACCCCGCTTTCCTCTCTTAAAGTAGTCAAACCAACCTGAGGGTTTACTATGGAATTTAGACGCATGCAATTAAAGCTAAACATTACGATTGTTGATTTTTCAAACAAGTAGGGTTTCATGGGTTGTTGTAGGTTTTTCCGGGCTATATGGCCATGTTCTGGAGGCAATTTTTCTCCTGACGTTTCGCCTGCATCTATGGCAAGCATCCTCAGAGGAAAGGTACTCTGAGGATGCTTGCCATAGATGCAGGCGAAACGTCAGGAGAAAAATTGCCTCCAGAACATGGCCATATAGCCCGGAAAAACCTACAACAACCCATGGATTCCGGCCATGAAAGCCTTCGACAATACAAGTAGGGTTTCACTTAAAGTACACCTGGATGAAGAAGGATAGTTAAACAAATTGATGTTAAAACAATGTCACCACAATGCTGCTCTTAGCAAGAAAATAATAATAATAATAATAATAATACATTGTTGTGAGTTTTCTGAGTTGTCTTGGCCATGTTCCAGAAGCATTCTCTACTGACATTTTACCTGCATCTATGACAGGAATCCCCAGAGGTTGTGAGGTCTGTTGGAAACTAGGAAAATTGGGTTTTATATATCTGTGGAATGTCCAGGGTGGGAGAAAGAACTCTTGTCTGAGGTAGGTGTGAATGTAGCAATTGGCACCCTGATTAGCATTTAATGGTCTAGCAGATGTTTCCAATAGACCTCACAACCTCTGAGGATGCCTGCCATAGATGCAGGTGAAACGTCAGGAGAGAATGCTCCTGGAACATGGCCATACAGCCTGGAAAACTCACAACAACCCAGTCATTCCAGCCATGAAAGCCTTTGACAATACAATAATAATAATAATAATAATAATAATAATAATAATAATGCTTTATTTATATCCTACCTCCTCTCCCAAAGGGGACTCAATATTATGTGTGGAAAAAGGTAGGTGGGTGTGCGTCTATTGCCTTTCTGCTTTTCGATTTAAAATAACGGCTGTGATAAGATAAGGAAGGAGCGTGAAATTCTTCTAGCTTTACAGCCGGAGGGAACGGTGTGTGACAACTCTACACAC